TGACCTACATCCAGTAGCCAGGTCAGGAATGGATCTAGAGTAACAAAATATAGTGAAGGTTTAGATGCACAGAAGTACTTAATATTTTTTGCTATTCCTTCTCATCCTTACTGTGAATGCGGTGTATTTATAATTTAAAATAAATATTATTGTGAAAGAATCACAAATTTTATATGGGAGCTTCACTAACTGGAGGCCGTCAAAAATATGAAGTGATTTGATTAGTGACTACTGAGAAATGGCAATCAGCCTACTGGCAGGCTATGCTTACCAGAAAGGCTATAATTTTTTATTGTGTTGTCTCAGAATCCTTTCATTCCTTTTCACTGATTTTACAACCGGGCCACCATTTCATGTTGGCATTGCTCAGGGAGAAAGGAATAGGTATCATGCTGATAGCCAGATGTTCCAGATTAAACGTCCAGTTGAATGAGACCTTTGCGTTACACAGTGATTTTATGTGCTCCTGAACTACTCTGAATCTCTATAGGACCAGTTTCTATTCCTCCTCCTTTTTCAGAGTTTTATTCTCCACCTTCATTTAATGGCCAGAGGACACTGTGGCTATGAGATATTAACACTCTCAGTTTCCCTTTCCTACGTGTTAAAACACAGATTTCCATCTCAGTTTTCCATGTGAAACACCTCACCCAAGCCTTTCTCAGACAAGGAAGTGGTGCTCCTGTTACCATGTTCCAGTCCCACTCTCCAGTGTCTTCAGGGTTTTAATGCCAGCATCCCCTTTCTCCTGTCCAACCTTGCACTCTGAAAGGTCTTCCTTCCTTGCATAACCAGGACCATTTTTCTCTATTGAAAAGAACCAAAGACAAATTCCCTAAAGCAATTACTCTTGACTAGCCCCCCTGCATGTGCTGCGCAGTCTCATTCAATTCATATAATGCATCTTCTTGGAGTCACTTCTCATTCCGTCTTCAAACCTACATTAATAATCTGCTTTCGTTCTATTCTCCACAAAAACTGCTGATTATAAAGATCACTGTTTTAGCTAGTTCTCCATAGCTGTAACATAATTATATCTGATAAACGACTTCAAAGGACGAATGACTTATTTTGGCTCACATCTTCAGCCTATGGTTGCCTGACCCCATCCATGTGGGCCTAGAGCAGCACAGTCCACCAAAGTAGCAACACATGGTAGAAGTCTGTTCACCTCAGGGAGGAAAGAAGTGGAAGAGATTAAGAGGAAGGGGCTCAGGCCCCAATACCCTCTTTGTACAAACACCTCCACGAGCAGGCTTTTTTCCACCAGAACCTATATCCTAAAGATTCCACCACCTCCCAAATGGTTGACTAAGTGACAAGTCTGGTGACCAAGTCTTTGTGAGTAACTTCAGGTCCAAACTGTAACAATCCCAGTCCCATCCTCTCACTTTATCTCTCTGAACCATTCTAATCTACTTTTGAAGTTTGTTCCTTCTCCACCTCCTTTAATGATGCCTTGGTTTCTACCCACCTATTCATTCTTATTTAATACCTGTCTTTGGTTGACTCCATGGTCTCATTCACACCCTAAGTCTGTAGTATAAAGTATCTACTAATGGCTCTTGCCTTCTTCATCTCCTACTTAGATCCACAAATCCACCCAACTTCTACTGTTAACCTTTAACTTAAGTGTCCCTACAAATAGTATAAAAACCATCACACACAAAAACAAACCCTCTTTGCTTCCCAAACTTCTGTTCCACCAAGATTTCCAAGTTTGGCAAATAAATAAGTAAATAAATTTGGATATGCAGATTCAGCCCTTTTCCTCACTCCTCTTTAAGTCAGTCACTGCATCCTGCCATTTGACAGAACCATTGCACATGGCCATAGACCAGTCCCTCATGACTCTGAAATGACCTCCTCGCTTAGGAGGTCAGTGCTTTTTAGAGTGTGGTCTCAATAGCATGAACTATCACCTTGGAACTTACATAAAATCCACCTGCCCTGACCTACTGAATCAGGAACTCTAGGGTAGTATGTAGTATGTGTTTTAATACATTTTCTAGGTAATTCTGAACCTAAAGTTTGAGAACCACTCTTCCAGTCTACTCCCACAAATTTGTTCTCTGTACTCTTAAAACAGCCATATTGCAAAACAAACCCATTTGTTTGTGTTCCTGCTCTGCTCAGAAGCCTTTAGTGACTTTTTTTTTTTTTTTTTTTGGTACCAGGGATCGAACTTGGGATCTTGTGCTTGCAAGGCAGGTAGCAGAACCACTGAGTTCAATTACCGGCACCCCCTTTTTTAAAAATTTTTTTTTTTAACTTTTGGTTTTTTGAGACAGAGTCTCACTATGTAGTTGAGACTGACCTGGAACTCACGGCGATCCTCCTGACTCAGCCTCCAGAGTAGTGGGATTACAGGTGTGCAGCACAATGCCTGGCTTGTGACATTTTTTGACTAGGGAATGAAATCTCAATTTCTTAGTATAGCATAAAAAGCCTATTGGGATCTAGTTTCTGCCTGCCAGTTTTCAGAAAGTAAAGTACAACGAAGTACATTTTAGTAAGAATGGACTGTCATGTAGTGATTAAGGAAACAAATCCCATTACTTGGGTGTTGACTTTCTACCTTATCACTTGAAATTTTACCACAGGGCTTTGGATGAGCCAATTAATCTTTCTATGCCTCAGTTCCATCCTTTGCAAAAGGAGAATAACAGTAACTTCCATACCACAAAGTGGTTGTAAAATTGCCATAACACTTGGCACTTGGTCTGTGTTCAGTGACTATAATTACTATTTCTATTTGAAAAACAAAACAAAACAAAACAAAAACCCTAACTGGAATCATAGGAAACAATACTGGAATGAATGCCCGAACTAAAAGAAGTGGTCCCATAGGGAGGCCTACTTCTTCTGGACAGTTTCAATTAGTTATAAAATCTCCAAATTTTCAAGAAAGAGTGTCTGTTGTCTGCGGGCTATTTTAATTGGGGGAAGAGGCTGAATCAGAATCTAGGATGTTATAGGAGAGTTAGTCGGGTAAGCTAATTATGAAAGAAACAAGGAAACTAAAACAGCAAAGCAGTAAAGACAGCATGTTTAAATTCATGTTTGTTTCTGATAAGTTAATAAAATTAGAGTCGCCAAATGATTAAATGCGAGTCCTCGTACGACAGAGACATGATCTACATGTTCAGAAATGTTGGCTATTTAAGAGAAAATGTTGGTCATTTAAGAGTAATGAGAGGAATTCTAACTTCCCTCACAATTTAGTTACGATTGTGAACAAATCACTTCTCTCCTACTCAATTTAATAATGTGTAACATAGGGCCCCATTATGAAGATCATCACATATGTATTCATTGCTTAGTACAGTGTGCAGTGTGTGGTACTTGCTCAATACATGGCAATTATCATCAGTGGAATACAAATCATATATAAAAATAAGTCTCTCTAGACTCTCCTACTTGAATGATGCCATTATACATTATCAGCTAACATTCTGACTAACATTTGGTCACTTTTTACAAAACTAGGAAATGTTGCTGGGCATGGTGACGCACGCCTGTAATCCCAACTCTCAAGAGGCTGAGGTAGAAGGATGGCTCCGAGTTCGAGGTCAGCCTGGGCTAATGGGGAATTCAGGGCCAGACTGTATGACAAAGGGGAACCTGTCTCAAAACACAAAAACCAAAACCAAACTAGAAAATGTTATAAAGACAGACCCACATGCAATCATGTCTCCTGTGTTCCAATCCTTTAGGGCTTATCAGTTTTCACATCAAGTATGTGTGACAGTAATTTTATCCAAATGCTCACTTAGTATCTATTACATACTGGCAGAGTTCAGAGGAAACTACTAAGATCAATAAAGCATGATTTTGTCTCCCAGGAAAATACAAGCTTGAGGAGACAACCCAACAAAACATGATTAAATATTCTCTAGGAGAAAACAAAATACTGTATGGATTAAAAACTTCTGCAGAGTTGATTCAATTTTCAAAACCTCACTTTTTGTTTTCTGTTCAATTTCTTTAGATGGAATCTCAATCTAGGTTTACTAACTTCATTTTTAGCTACAACAGGGAGTCAGTAGAGACGCATTTACTGCCATCCACCATCTCCAAGGCAGCACGGCTTGTTCTGTTCGCCTGCTGTATCCCCAGCGCAAAGCAGACAGCAGAATCGTGGGCCCTTGGTTCCAAGTAGGGTGACTTATCCTTAAGCTTCCACTTTCTTGGAGCACCTGTCCTAAAGTTTCTTCCCTATCCTTCCCTCAAAGCCCCATCTCTGTGGTGAAGAACCTGCACCACGCGGATCCCTGTGAAGAATAAAAGATGTATTTCCTCAGCTGCCAGCCCCTTTCCAGGGCTGACTCAGCTGGAGAGGTGAAGTCACACCTCCAGACATCCAATGCCTGATCAGTGCAGGAGATAAAGGCCTGATCCTCTCCTCCACCTTGGAACAAGTGGAAGAGGCCCACCCAGCAGCAGAGTCGCTCTGGAGCCGAAGCAGGACCTTCTCTGGGACTGCACTACAGCTCAATTTTTTTCCCTTCAGTCCAATCCTATTTCCTTCAGTCCTCAGCAATGATTCAAAAAGTCCTCTCCAATACAACTGCTGCCTACAAATCTCCGAGTCCGCCTCCCAGGAAAAACCACCCAGGTCACTCTAGAATCCTGCTGTTCACTTATCAGAGTTACGCCAGGGCTGCCGTCCAGCTTCAGGGAAGGGGGGTGGCTGCCAGCAGTCTCGGGCTCACTGTACACCCGTCACCCCGCGACGGGCACAAGGCCTCGGAAGGCCGGGAGGGAGAGAGGGGCGAAAGGGGTGTCCCGGGTCCCAGCTGGGCGGTGCCACACAGGTGTGACCCGAAGGCCCCTGGACACCGTCTCCGCCGGCTTCACAGAGCAAGCGAGCGAGGACGCCCGGTTCCACCCCCACCGCGCGGACAGCTGCTACCGCTGCTCCGACGCCAGGAGCCTCCCGTGGTTCCCACCCCCACAAGCGAGGACGAGGGCGACATCTGCGGGCGCTGGGCACCTACAAGCGTCCTTCTTCAGCCTCACGGCTCTTTTTCCAACTGAGGTTCCAGCTTTCTCACCTGCCTACAGCGCTGCGACTTCCTATGACGCTGCCTCAGCCAGCAGGCCCCGGACGCCGAACCTAGCCCCCAGCCGCTGCTGCGGACTCAGGGGACCTTCGACCTGTGAGTCGAAATGGCGCACGCGCAGGTGTGAAGTGGGTCCCGGACCTGCTCTAATTCCGTCTCTCCGGGTTTTGTGGTCCACTCAAGCGGCGGCAGTAGCCGGAAAGGGTAGGGGCGGGATTTATTTAGCGTCAATGTCGGCAGATAGTAGAAAATGTACAGTTTAAATGTAACATGTAAGTAAAATTTCAGAGGTAAGTAAAACACAAAAAGGGGACAGAACTGCTTTTTTATACACACTTCATGGGCATTCACTTAATGAAGTAAAACTAGGCAATCATTATTGGTTTTATGCACCCCGTGACTGGCCAATCACGAAGCGCTAGAGTCTGCCGCTCAGAACAAAACCCCGCCTCTCTCTACAGCTGCATGGAAAACGAGGAAACGCGCTAAACTGGTCAATCTCCCTGGATCGGGTTGGAAGTTGGACATGCGCAGTGAGTGTGGTCGCTTTCTAGCTGGCTTCCGCCCTCAGTCCAGGCTTACAGCGAGGTGAGAAGTTATTCAGAGTGGGGTCCTTCAACAGATTGTTTCCGGGTTATCTACGATGTTTTCCGACTCAGAGATAAAACTTTTACTCTCCTGGGTCATTCCGAAGAGTAAGGGAAAAAGTTACGTTTAAGATGGCTATTTTACGTAAAATTTCTCCCATTGTGCCCATGGAAAATACTTTCCACTCGAGCAATGAATTTTCAGCTATCAAACCACAGTGATACTGCGTTTTATCTTCTCTCCACCACTGCTACATAGTACCGGAATAATGGTAATTCATCACCTGCCAATCACCTTCTTTGCTTTAACAGCCTCTAAAAGGCCAGCCTATGCCGCCATTTTTGTTTTGGTGGCGCCTTGAAAGTTGTGAGCGTCAGTGGAGGCCATTTTTCCCTAGGGCAGCGTCCATCCCTCTCACTTTGTGATTGCCGCCATCTTAAGTCCTGGCTCCGGCTTCAAGCCGATGCGAAGCTACCCAGATCATCTTGTGTTTGGGCGGTGGCTGCGTGCCCAGACTCGCGGGGTACCCTGGGAAAAGGGAAGTGGGTCCGAAATACGAATTTGAAAAGCGTCTGGGAGTAGGCTTCATATTAGCAAGCTCTTTAGAATGAATGTCCACAGTTGGGTATTACTCCACCAGTGACCCCGGACAGTAACAAAACATATAAAGCTCGAGCCCAAACCCCGCCACCATCATAGGTAAGACGAACTTCAGGCGACCTAAGATTGTCTTCACTTGGAACTGAATGTTTGCTTAACCCTGTATGTTTTTTGCCTTTGATTTTTTGGGAGGCTTTTCCCAGTCCTCCTCCCTGTGCTTCAACCTCTCCATTATTTTCCTAGCTGAAAAGTTATTAACTAGCAGGGTGTGAGAAGCTTAGGCTTTAAAGAAGAGAAAATGTTAAGGGGAAAAAAATTAAAGACAAAATGGAGCCCAGCAGATGGGCCAGTTATTTCTATCAAGTTGTGGCCATGTGTACAAATGTCCTCTTCCGAGATAATTTTATAGTGTGATGTAAATACAGATTGTTTGCATATATTTCCCATTCATTAGTGCACTATGAAATGCTTGTTTGAGACCATAAAAAGCAGCAGTAAACTAATACAACTGGAGGTCTTGTTCTATCACCCCATCTTCTAGATTGTGACCAGGAGCACAGTATTGTATAGTTCTTAGCACTGCTAGAGTATACAAACCAGTAGTTTACTTCCCACTTCCTTTAATCCCTAATTTTTTCCTTACATAGGGATAAATTGTGTTGATAGTTACTGTTTGGAGCCTCGATATAAACGTGTGTAAGCCAGTTAGCCAGTGTTGCAATTAGGATTCAAATTCCTTTAGGTCCTTGTTGCTCAAAGTGTGGTTCATCTCCCAGCAGCATCAACCTCCTGTGAAATCTTGTTACACAAGTGCCAGGTCTTGCCCCACCTTAGATCTGGGAATCAGAATCTTCCCAAAAGAAGTGCACCTTAAAGTTCAAGAACTTCGATACAGGACTTGTGTAAAGGGATCGCCCGCTTTTTTTCCACCTGGGCTTCTTTAACCAGATTCAGTGTACAGTAGTATCAGCTAATTAAATGTTTTAAATAAGCTAATTAAAATGTTTTAATTAAATGTTTTAAATATTTAATTCAAATTTTTAAAAATTTTAGGTCAGAGTTGAGGTCCTGATACCAAGTTAGCATTTCAAAAAGTTGAAGAGAGATTTTGTTGGTCCGGTAAGCTTTTATGTAACTGACAACATTCAAAATGTAGAGTTTTTGCCGGGTGTAGTAGTGCACACCTGTAATCCCAGCACTTGGGAGGCTGAGGCAGGAGGATCTCTAGTTTGAGATCAGCCTGGGCTACACAGTGAATTCCAGGTCATTCTCAACTACATAGTGAGTGAGACCCTGTCTCGAACAAACAAACAAACAAACAAAAAGTTTTTTAAGTTGTCATATCCAATTTATCACTAGTATGGTATTAATATAAAGGGGAGGAAGTTGTTGCTGTTTCTTGCTTTTTCTTATTCTGTGTGGATATTTTTAATTTTAATTTGTTACAAGCTAAACTCACAAGCCTGCATGTGGACAGCAGTTGAGTTATTGACTTGAAAATCTTGGACTGTGGTTTACCAGCGCTTTTTATGGTGCCTTGCTTTCTTTTGTGTCTGTAATGATGTGTCTGCACCAAGAGTTCTCAAGCTTGGACCCACCACATGAAGGTCACCTGGCGAGCTTCTAAAACTGACTCCAGCTCAGTTATCAGCAGAGATTGAGACTGCATAGAATTAAGGAGCCAGGCAGGTATTTGAAAGAACAGCAAGTGACTTTCACTTTTTTTGTAATGCTGTATGTTAGAGATTTTTTTTTTCCCTTCCTGTGGTTTTACTTAAAATAATTAGGATTGTGAAGGCAATAAAGAGAACTGGGTTTCTAATGTGGTGAACCAGCTTCCTAGTAACTGATCGATTTCCTGTTTATAATTTTGTGCCTTCAGCAAGCTCTTCACCCTGTCTCTTTTCCCTTCATCTATTAATAGGGAAAAGAAGAATGAAGGTTATTTTTGTTTTATTTATCCTCCTGTGAGTGTTTCAAATTGTAGTAAATGTGTATGTGTATATTCTGTGAATGTAAGAAAGTATTCCGTGGCAGTATGTATTGCTTTTGATTTTTATATGCTACATTCAATGTTAAGGGTGAATAAAGAAATGAACTCTGAAGCTAGAGGTCCTGGGTTCAAGTCCTACCTTTTCTGCTTACCAGCCATGTGACCTTATAGAGACTACCTAACTTCCTTGTCTCAGTTTCCTCATTTGTAAAGTAGTCTTGATATGATGGTTAGATAGGTTAATACAAGAAAAGTGTTTAAGATGCTTTGCATAAAGAAGATGTGGTTTTTCTATAAAATGGAATATTAGCCAAAAAGAATGAGAAATTAGATTCATTCATAGGAAAATGGATACATAGTGAAGATATACTCCTAAGTGAAATAAATAAATCACACACGTGTAAATACCGAATAGTTTCTCTGGTGTGAATAAACTATAATAGTACATAAGATCCTAATGATATAATGGACAATGTGAAATAGGAAGAAAAGGGCTAAAGGTGTAGGGAAAGTGGGAAGGGTAGGGGAAAGCTAATAAGGGAAAAGAAAAAATATGAGAAAATGAAAAAATGGAACTGAAGTGTTTGTAAATAGGGAGGCGAGGAGGGGTGAAGGGAGGGCAGGGACGAGGGGAAAAAATGAGAACCAAGACCTGTCATGTAACCGTACAAGATCCCAATAATGAATGTAACTGTACTGTATACCTAAAATGTACCAATAAATTCAATGAGGAAAAATAATGCCTTGCACAAAGAAACAGCTATATAAGTATTAGCTATCTTATTTTTTTTGTTTAAATCTTTGGGTTATTAAGATTTTGTTAAGATACACACCTTTTGCTCTTTTTTAAATTTTAACAGGTCCATAATAAAAACCAGCCTTCTTGGGGGCTGGGGATTTAGCTCAATGGTTTGGTGGCCTGCCTTGCAAGCGCAAGGACCCAAGTTCGATCCCCGGTACCAAAAAAAAAAAAACAAAAAAAAAACCAGCCTTCTTGAAATATCACTGTGATACAGTAAGATATTTATATTTGAAATATGCAACTTGACCTGTCTTTACATGTATACACCAGTGAAACCTTCACCACAATCAAGATAATGAACATAACCATCACCCTCAAAAGTTTCCTCTTATTTCTTTGCTGCTTCTTCTCCTGCTACCTTCTTCCAGTCACTAGATGATCACTATTGCTAAGTTTCTAGGTTTTCCTAGGTTTTATCGACAGGAAGTCTTCAGTATATGATTTTTTTTTTCTTGTGGTGTGTCTGACTTATTTCACTCATCATAATTATTTTGAGATGTGTCTTTGTTATATAAACAGCCATTATTTTTATTTTTTTGGTCGTACCAGGGATGGAACTGAGGACCCTGCATTTGCAATCCCCAGCCCAGCCATTCCTTTTTAATTGTTGAATAATATTCCATTGTGTTTTGTTTACCAGTTGCTGGCCATTTAGATTATTTTTATTTTCACTGTTCTTTTTTTAACTTTGTTTTCCAGATTATTCTGTTATAAAAAATCCACTTGTCAATAAATAACAGGCTCTCTGTTGTGATAAAAAGAAAAATTCCATTGAACAGAGACTAGACCTCAGGATATTTTAGCAGTTAGGTGGGAAAAGCTGAGTTAATCACATCCAAATGTGGATGGGCTGACAGTGGGAGAGAGATAGTGGTAGCTGGCTGGGAGAGATTTCATCCCTGAGAGGATGGGCTAACACCAGGGGAGAGAGAAATCAGCAATTAACTGGGAAAGGAATTAGGCATATACAGGTATTGAAGAGCCTAAGGAATCTGGGGTGACATATTTAGGACTTAGATGCCCAAGGACAGTCTGAAAAGATATGTATACAATTACTGGATTTTTTGGCACTAGGAGTTGTAAGCCATATTTTTTAGTCCATTTGCCTCACGTACTGGGAAGCTGCTGGTATTTGTTAAAAGCAGCCTGTTTATTTTTCCTGTTGATTTAGGGCAGGCCTGACATACTCGAATTTTTTTTAAAAAGGTGATAGTGCTAAAACATGTTTGTGTTGTGATTTTGCTGTTGTGTAGTTTATAAATTCCATCTTTTATGAATGAGGCATTATGGCTTTTTTATAATGCAAAATGAGGGGCAGGGGGTGTAGTTCAGTGGTAGAGCACTTGCCTGGTCTGCTCAAGGCCTTGGGTTCCTTCTCTAGCATTGGAAAAAAGAACAGTAAAGAAAAAAGAAAAGGCATGTATTGACTTTTAAGTAGACATGTACCCCTCTCTACACAGCTGTTTCTCCTCTCTGTCTCTCCTCCCACCCCCGACTTGGTACGTTGCCCAGTCTGGCCTAAAATTTGTAGTCCTGCAGCCTCAGTCTCCTGAGTAGCTGGGATTATAGATGTGTCTCCCTGTACCTGGTGTGTGGTTATTTCTTGGTGTGTACATGTCTAATCATTTTAAGCCGTTTTAATTTTTTAAAGTCAAAGTCTACTATTTATATGCTCCTTTTTAGAAATTCAAGAAAATAATTTATGCAAATTGGAAACCTGCTAACTAGGTGGTAAAGCAGGAATTTTTAAAGCCAGGCGGAAATGTCATAAAACTCTGCTTTTCCAGTAGCTCATATTTTGAGTCTCATTTTCCAATTATTTTCACATTTAAAATATTTATGGTTTGTGCTTGAATAAATCAGTGCTGGTTTAAAATTGAATACAACAGTTATAGGCAGTATAGTATAGTTGATGTTGATTATAGTATAGCTAATTATATGTTATAATGTCCTGGGTGTAAAAATTCATTGATTAATTTTGATTTATTCTCTAATTAGGAAAGATTTTCTTTTTTACAACTACAAAGTATTTTTAATTGGTATACGGGGAAATCCACTCTGCGGATACAGTTGGGAAGAGTCCCGACTAATGCCTCAAGCTGTGTAACCCACTGAAATGAGGATCCAGGACAGGTTCTGTGCCAGGTTCCCTCCTGCTACCCCTTTGTAGTAGCCCCCTCCACTCTTAGCAACCCGTGATTCATTCTCCATGTTGCAGCTTTACGTTGGAAAGATTCGATTTTAAGATGACTGCATGAGTGAAGTGAAGTTTTTTGTATGGCAGAGGAAACAAACACAGCAGTG